ACATCCACTGGAAAGCCTCTGTATAAACTGCAGTTCCCAAAGGCCAGGAAGGGAGAATGCAGAGCAAAACCAGTAAAGACTGACCCCACATTCCGTAAGTGTTTAAAATATTTATTATACAACTATTTACAAATATAAAAAAAAAAAATTAGAAAGAACTTTCAGCTTTTTACATGCATATACCACATTTTTTGTTGTGCTTTTTTTTTAACATTGCACAGGCTACGTGGCCAACTTGATGGACCTCATCTTCGACCAAGTCTTTGTGGACCCTGCACCATTATGAGCGACCTGACAGGGAGGAGGTCATCGCCGGGTATGCTACACGGTTCAATTTGGCTGCTGTCTGAACCCAACATAGACATTTCGCGGATCAGGAAACTCCTGCCTCCCTGAGGACAACGCAGGCCGGAATCACCACTCTGATCCTGCGTCCAAGGAAGCCCCAGCACCAGCTCACAAAGCTTCTGTAGGCTAGATACCTGTGACGCCTGAAATCATTAAAAATAATATTTAGTGTCATTTATACAAAATACAAGTACATTTAGTTTTTTTTTTATGGGTTCAAAGAACCGTTGATTTTGACAATAAAGTTCCGAGTTGATATCAAATGTGTCGTGATTATTCATGTTTGGATGGGTAAAGAATATTCTGATTTCAAAAGCATAAGGTTGTGTGTGGACTTTTGTTGTCGTACACATGGGTGTGTTATGCCATTGCTGTGTAGTATATAATAGTACATGTACAATGACAGAATGAAAGATTGCATAAAGCCATATATTTCCATGAACAATATTAGCATCCGTTTTACAATTTCAGTCAAAACAAACAAACCACTCACTGCTCTATTTGCCTCAACTGTAGTCCACCATGTTCAGCTCTGTAAATATTCAATGCATTCTGCAGTGAGAACACATTTAGGCTCCAATCCAGGATGGTCCACCATACAGGTTACAGAGTCCTCAAGTTCCTGCATCCGTCTTGACACCTAGTGTGATAAACATATATTGAATGACATGTTAAAAATGTATTCTCTAAACAGACAACTTAGTGAAGCTATCAAAAATGTTACCTGTGGTATCTCCATGCAGCACACATTCTCCGTTCAGAAGGCATCGTGGCGCAATTTGCACATGTACACATGTAGAAAGAAGTCAATAACTGAGCTTTTAAAAACACATGAAACTGCACACATTGCTGACAACTGAGGTGTTGTTGGAGTTATACCTTTTATCACCCTAAGTTATTGAACTTTCCAACGGTTGTTGCACGATGTTGGAAGAAAAGGACTGTAAACTATTAAACGCAATGAGGCCATTGTATATATGCTGAAAATATGAATGTCTCCCTTTATAAATATATATATGTATCGCTGTTTTTGCGATATAAACTGTACACATTGCATTCTTGCTAATTAGCCAAAATATGAACGGAATAAGTAGCAAGCATCGTAACAAACAGAGTAAAATAAATAGGGACAACAGCTTGTCAACTAACCATTCAGAAACGTCCTGCTGCAACCGAGATCTTTGCACCTCCACCAAAACCTCCGCTGCTTCAGGGTCAGTCTCTGGATCAAATTGATAATATGCTTGAACACATGCATTGCTCTGAGATGACATGTTTATTCCACACTCGTAATCACAGCAAGCATGTTAACGTGACTCTCACCGGCTCATGCCCCGCTCTTCTGCAGGGGGGCGTGGTCAGCTGCTGCTCAGAATTTTCAAAGACAGGCTTGGAATAGAGCGAAAATGAGCAAAATGAGCGAAACGAGGCATGGCTAAAAAATGATCTGTTTGGTATTTTGAAAAATAAAATGTATAAATATACCTTATATAGATATGGTCATACACTATATCATTTAAATATAGCATGATAGGTCTCCTTTAAGTAACCTTTCATCATTCATCAATAATTAACATTAATATAACGTTATATTGATAATGTACTCACTAAACTTACAATTAATTTAACTTATTTTCTTCCAAAAGTTAATTATCCAAAGCCTCTGTACACCCCCTTCTATTTACATGTAATGGTTTGGTCCTGCCTCCGCCTCCAAACGGCACTTTCTAGCAGAGAGTGAGAGCATGTTAGGAGCAGGGATGCTAGTACTTACGTGTGAACCATGTCTCAACGACTAACAAAGTCAGGCTTTCAAAAAGAAAAGAAAGGAGAGAAAGAAAAGAGAGAGGGACTAAAGGGCGACAGTATGTCACCCAGTTTTTCAAGAGAAAAGGTGGGTGTGGTCAATGAGTGGTGGAAATTAGTCTGTTAGCTACGCGTAGTCCATTGTAAATAAGGGTTAGGGTTAGTATTTGTATGTTTTTTTTTTTACTAAGCTGGCATTAAGTACTGTTTATATATATATATAGAAAATGCAGAGTTTTTAATTTCACTGCTCTTTTAGCTGACATTTAATAAATGCAGGTAGATTTTTAGCAGCTATTCATACTAAATCAGTTGTCCCTCCCCCTGGTGCCAGAACCAACAGATCCACCTCTAGGCTCAGCAGCCCTGTCCCCCCATAATGCTGAACCTGAACCAGCTTTTCTCCCAACTGAAGGAGGTGAGCAGCATTGTGTTGAATGCCACTTAACATATCTGAAGGGAGACTGGAATACAAAATATATATTTATCAAAACAAAAAGCTAACATCTCATTTAAATTATACATTTCAAACACAGTATTTTTCCACATATTTAAGTTATATTTATTTGGATTTATGCATTCATGTTGAGAATGTTCCATTCAAAAATGTTATTATTAAAAATGCATTTACACCATAAAAGATGACTGTTGAGATCTATTGTCAGGAATGTTAGTCTTATATGTATGGCCAGAGGGCAGGACCTATAACACATTTACTACCCAATAGCATTGTGAGGCTGAAGAAAAGGACCTTTTGACTATGTAAATGTAGTCTTTTAAAAAAACAAAAACATTTACTGACTTTTATGGATATAGCTTAAAATAATGTTGTAAAAAATTACAACCGGGGGCCTTACAGGGTTAAGGGCTATTGTTTATTGTTATTTACTTTAAGATGTTTATTCTTAACCAATAATTTAATTAAAAACTCTTATTTAAATGATGTGTGTGTCTCTGTATTCCTGATGATACACTGAGAGAATGAGCTCATAGTGCTGCTGATCACCATAACCTAAACAGTCTGTATATTGCACTACATTTGTATAATGTAAGCTTCGTTGATACTTTGAATAAGAAACAAATAGTTAGATATACTGAATATTATTTGATCTATTGCACCACTAGCTTAATCCCAAATAATGTAGAGGTGTGTTGTAAGTAGGGATGTAACGATATACCGAATATCGCGGTAAATAAACGTCCCAATACCGTCGTGAGACTGACAAAATCTACCGCGATTCTTTTTTTAAATTAATTAATTATTTTATTTTTTTAAACACTTTTTTTTTTTAAACCTTTATTTAACCAGGTGGTCCCATTGAGATCATCGATCTCTTTTTCAAGAGAGACCTGTCCAACATGGCAGCAAGTAGGTTACAACATGAACATAAAACAACAGATAACACAAAAGGACATTGTATTTACAGGGCTACATTTACACACCTAGAGACATTGACAAGTACCAACAGCATATTTATATCTCGCCCTGTCAATAAGCCTTGCCTTCTTGGCAAACACTGTATTGTTTTTGAAGTGGTGGAGAGACAATGCACAATTTGACCCGCCACTGCTGTCACCCATGGCCAAAGCATATCTCTCCGTCCCACTGAGGTGGCGTTGGACTTTTTCGCTGTCCGTCATTTTGACAGACAGGATCGTAAAATGTCCGTCATAATCCCTTATTACCCGTCGGGTCTGAACAGTTCACAAGAGAGCACGCTCGTGATCTGTCAAGTGGGGGGGGGGGGGGGGAGGGGGGGTGTTATGCCGTGTGTGCATGCACCTCGCGGGAGCGCGCACAGCGTAAAGCAAAACCTCCCAGACATGTGTTGATCTGTACGGCAAAGTACGGTTTGGAAACTATATCATTTCCTTTTGGAGGGCATGCATAACACGGCATAACACCAGAGCCTCGCTGCGGGGAAACGTTGGCGCTGTTCCGAGTTTGTTCTAATCTGTCAAAATGACAGACTGCTTTCAGATTTTTCCGTCATTGATAAATAAAATATTCGGTTAACGCGACCACTGCTGTCCCAGCAACATCAGTACCAAGCGAGAGAGTTTTTTCCAGAGCAGGGGATATTGTAAATGCCCAAACATCCCAGCTTATAAATACCTGGAAATGTGGACATTCTCATATTCCTAAAAACCTGTCTGATGATGCTGAGTGAGTGACTAGTGAGTTTGAGTTGAGTTACTTGAAAAACAAAGTGAAACTTGATTTATTTTATTGCAGGGTCTGATTATTAAATGTCCTTGTTTATTTGTGAGATGCAGTGGCACAAAGAAAATGCCTACTTTGTTTGGTAGTACTATAGGTACAAAAACACTGGTTTTCTTGCTCCAGTCTGTTACTGTCACTTTGTTTTTGACACTTTAAAATACTGCTATCCTACTAAAATGCTGTACAAATCAGATTTATTATGTAATAAAGAAACATTTTCCAAGTAAAAAATGTTTTTATTGAAAATAAATAATTATTCAATATCGCGATAAATACAGTACTGTGGACTTGTATATTGAATGAATATTAAACACAACAACCTCTGAACATTACAAATATTCGCCTCAATTCAAACTGGAACCTCTCTCATACAATAATACAATACAAATGGGGTGTGTGTGTGTGTGTGTGTGTGTGTGTGTGTGTGTGTGTGTGTGTGTGTGTGTGTGTGTGTGTGTGTGTGTGTGTGTGTGTGTGTGTGTGTGTCTGCATCTGTAGCCTGTTATTGTCTCATTATACCGCACTGTGAATGAATCAAAGTAAATATATAAGTCGTCATGAACACATCTGTCCATCAGACAGAGGGCTGCTGTGCCTCCTGTCATCATTAATGGACGTCTCTTTAAAATGACCGCTCAGCGGAGAGGAGTTCTCATTTCTCTTCCCCTCCTCTCTCCTCGGTTCCCCTCCTTGGCTCCTCCGCTCACATCTCCTGTGGGCGGGACTAAGTCTCGAGGAGGGGAATTAGTGAAAGGGCCTAAGTGTCTCTTAGTTAATGTCCTGTACTGCTCTTAAATCTCATCACATCAGCTTTTCCTTTCCCTCTTGGATGTTCTTCTGGACCCTCAGAGAAAGAGAAAATGGTGAAGCAGTCCTGTCTCTCAGGCCTGTCCTTTCCTAACAGACATATCAAAAACACATATTATTGCAGAGCAAGTGTGTTATTTAAGAAAGAGGTGTGTTTGTTTGTTCAGGGGCTATAAATATAATGATGTTTTTATTTGAATGTGTTTTTTTAAATCCAACAGTGTACTACAAAGATAATCAGATTATGAATAAACCGTTCTAAATTCAACAACATTGAAATAAATGTATTATTAAAATAATATTTAACTGTTATCAAAACTTAGTGCAACTGTAGAAGCTTGCTCTGTCCGGTTGTCTCACTGAAAGAATCACTTTTAACATGTTTTTTACAGTCAGTATGCAGAGACAAAGGGTCGTAGTTCTCAATAATATTTGCCTTAAATACATTGAAATTTGAACAAAAAAGTTATGTTGCTTGGTAAAATGTAAATGTAACCTTTTGCTAAGAAAGTACACTCAACATCACTGATGTGTAGGTGATCTAGTATTCAGTCATGTTTAATGGCATGTATATCAGTGTATTAGAGTCATTACTTTATGCATTCTTTGTAAAGTATGAAAAAGGTGTACCTTGGAATCCGTGCTGAAGTTCTCTGCTGTTAGGAGTCCAGATATGTCTCTCATCCTCTGATCCAGCCTGTCTGGATCACCTTGAGGACACTTTGAACAAACAGATGTAAAGTTACAGACTTCTTTACATGCAAACAACTTTTTATCTTCTTTTAAAAACAGGTCATAATCTTATTGTTATACTTAAGAAATGGCTGGATATCACAGTCCTTATACTGTATCAGTTTGATTGAGTATTATTGTGTAGGCTAGGTCCTTTTTATTTTACTGTTATTTTGGATGAGTTTTTCATGAGTCAGTCAAATTAATTTGTTTTCATATGTATCACACACGTAAGGGTAAGACACAAACCTATTGAACAAATGCAATAGCTTAATTTTCAATGAAGTCACAGATAACGTCATATCTAATATTTAAACAAATCATTTCCTTGTCACTAAAGCATTGACTACGCTATTCATCGTCCTTAAATGCAGGCATTAAGTTACATGTTCCGTTCTACAGCCACGATAAGGCTGTTTCTCAAGTGTGAGGATAATACAATTAAAAGAGGCATTGGTAATAATATTAAAAACGACAATGTTTGGGTCGTTCGTCGGATAGGCGGTTAGCTGCAATAAATAACTCCAGTTCAGGGAGCGTTATTTCTGGACCATCTTGAAATGTGACGTTCATACTTTAAAGATACACACATTTCATTGTGAGGTTGATTTAATATACACTAAGCCTCTCTTCAACAATACTTTGACGTTAGCTAGTCTATTTTATGCTATAGTAGAGCATAGCTAATTGAAACGAACCTTAACAATGCATACAGTAACCTAATTAGCAAACTAACTATCTAACGTACAAGGATGACCTTATTTTAGCAACCTCGCACAGAAGCCTTCTGGTATACAGTAGCATCCCACTTAATGTTATACACTCTTGGATGCTACGCATAGCATCGTTAGCACAGATGAAGCTACGATTGTTCAAATGCTAACCCAACTCTAAACATTCATTAACGTTAGCTTAATAAAAACACCAGTAACATAACATAAAGTACGCAGGGTTGACTTACCGAAGAAACTGCATTCATGGACGGTCTGTTTCAACCGCAGATAAATCCTATATTTGCAGGACGAATAGTCCACCAGGAACCGACACAACAAACACGGCCGAGTTCAAGTAGTGTTCTCCTCATGAGCTGAGCCGCTGTAGCATCACGGAGCTAGCAGTGAGACAGAGGAGCTAGGAGCAGCAGTCCTGTTGTCATGAAGGGGGAATCTATACAGAATATGTTTTTGTGGATCCAGGCTAGAAACATGTTCATTTTCTGATGTTAAGTTGGACATTTTAACATAGGGTTTACGGGAATTGCTCCCATCTGCATCCATCGCCTACAGTCTGCAGCATTGGGCTTCACCGCACTGTCCCCCAGAAGTCGGTTTGATTGCATTCGGGCTCGATTGCTTATCCTGTCTGAGTAGCCCGGATGATGCTGCATCGCAATTTTTGAGATGGGTCTGGCTGCAGACCGCAGCAAGGAGGCGGATCGTATAGGGGCGTTTCCTAACTTTTTTTATCCAATAGAATAATGACACTCAGCAGAAATACATACTGTAGGTGGCAGTAATGCAATTTAAGGGATTCCAGCTGCTTTTATAAATCCTCGCAGAATAAGTCATTCGTTCTTTCACGATGGCCGAACAACAAGTTGAAACAGCGGTAATAGTATTTTCCAGAGATGCATGTTTATATTTATTGTAATGTCATTTTTCTTAACACACAATTGTCTCGTTATCAAAGTACAACATCAACTGTCCAACCTCGTTAATAAAGTAAATAATAGTTGTATGTGGTAAAAATGTTTGTGGTATTAAATGCTAACTTAGCATGATGTTATAAACACGTTGGCCTATAGTCCCGTTTGCAACCAGGCCTACTCTACTGTTGTAATAACGTTAAGCTCAGATAGGTCAATAGATTATCAGGCTCGGTAACAATACTGATTTGTGTTACCAAAGCTGATCATCTAATTGACCTAAGGTTAGCGTATATGCTGTGATGCTAACCAGCACTTAGCATGATGCTAGTGTACTGTTGTGTACTGTTGTATTATCTTGGAAATATAAGTAGGCCTGCCCTACATACTGTAACTTAATCAAATAATATGGTATGGATTCGGATAGACCACATGGCTAGCTTGGTTGGTTGAATTGAGTAATAAGATGTGCGGTACTGATTAAGGTTGTAACTGTAACAGTTTGTAACTACTAGTTGTAATGAACCAGACGAGAGACGGACGCATCCTTTCAGTAAATGTCGGCTGCTAATCAATATGTAAAAATAACACTTCGGATGTGTCTTCTATAATTATGTAACATTAGTTATGGCATCATCAGAAAAGATGAGCTGGCAGGATTCTGCAGCATTGACTGTTTCTATGATGCTGGAGGCACCTTCCAAGAATAAAATGTTTGTTTAATAAAGACTTTCCTCTTTGTATGTACTGTATATATTTTGTATTTTTTTATTAATCTTACCACCAGACACAACATGAACAAATGAATGATACACATCAGGACAGTAACTTAAACTTCAGTATTTTAGGTGTACAGAAACCTCTACTCATGTTGTTAAATTATATACAGCAATATCTTCCATAAAACGTAGTTGATTGATTTGAATAATAATTACTACCACTGCACAAACAGTGAAAAATGATATGCCTACAATTTATGAATTTGTCTTCTCTGTGGGTTGTATACTCTTCATTCTTTATGCAAATTAATTATTATTATTTTTCAAAGTTCGTTTATGATTCATTCAAAGCGTTAAAATAAATGAGAAACAGAGCGTCATATACCTTTAAGAAATACGTGGGGGCGGGGTTCATAACCCTTTAGGAAACGCCCCTATACGATCCGCAGCAATCGTAGAGGGGACAGCATTAGATCCTAGGAGGGGGGCATGAAGAAAGAACTGCACCAGCTTCATCCACGGTGGGCGTTACTGTTATCACTGGCTCAGTGTCATTTCATTTGACCAAATGTCTTTACATATACATTTAATAGATGTTATCATTATCCACCTTTTTGTTTTATGTCCTTTTATTTCAAACATTCTTTGAGACTTCTTCTGGTTACAATTTCAATAAATGTAATTTGTATAATCACTCTTTTGTCTTTATTCTACATGAAAATGTTAGAGATTCCATTCAAATCTGTTGATTATTCAGATCTTCCTCAGGCTAGGAATAGTAGAATGTGCTAAATGTATATCATTTTCTCACAGGATATATAATGAGACAACACAGTTTGTATCCATTGTGTATGAATGCTTCAGCTCTTCAGACCAACATAGTAAGATGTGAGCATGTTCCTAATTGTGTTGGTATGCAGCCTAGGTTTCATAAAGCAAATCTGCCACTTTTATATTGCAGAATTTGTTAAATTAAAGCAGTCTTTAATTGTTTGTCCTAAACATAGCCATATATGCTTTTGAAATGTAACATGTCTTTGAAAAATAATAGTATATAGTTTACATTGTGTATCATCTTTAGCTTGAAAATACATAGATGTGTTTTATTAATCTATAAAATAAATAGACAGACACTTTATCAATCCCAAATTGGAAATTATTTAACAGCAGCAGTGTGTTCAGGTATTACAATATTTAAAGTTGGAATAAAGTATAAACTACACAACACAAGTATAATGCACTGCAATCCATAAGATAAGTCTGATATGTTCATGAAACTCCTCAGGGGACTAACGTGGCCGAGTGGACTCCGGAGTTTGCTGCATGAGTTGCACTGTATGATCTGTGGTGTAGTGGGCTGTCACTCAAAAACTGAGTAGCCAATGAGGACACACCCCTGAAAGTCCGGCCCACCTGGGATGTTTGTGTCAAAATCGAAAACAAAAAATGAGAGAGCGCAAACGAGAAGAGCTGCAGCGAGAGCAAAACTCTGATCATTGAGAAAGAAGCAAAGAGAACTGCAAACAAAAACCTATGTTAAAACAAAGAAAAAAGACTTATAGTTTACATGATTACACAAATGATTTGTTTGCAACTTATAGTTTTATTTTTGAAATTTATTTTTATTTTGCTTGTTTTTTTCTCTCTCTTAAACTCTTAGTTTTGCTTGATTCTGAGAAAGTGTTGCTTTCTCTTTATGAAACAAAACTATAGGTTACTTACGTAACCCCAGTTCTCAGAGTAACATGAAGTGAGATGTCTCACTATGGGATGCGCCTCATCGCGGAGCAAACAGAAGCATCAATCTCATTACGCCAATCCTGATTGGCTGGTGATCTTGACGTCAGCGTCAGGGAATTCACCCCCTATAAGTAGCTTGCGCCACGACGCATGCGTCATTCAAAATAAGCACCTCTTCTCGCTTCACCATAGCAAGGAGGGCCGTCTGGTGAGACATCTCACTTCATGTTACTCTGAGAACTGGGGTTACGTAAGTAACCTATAGTTCTCATTCATAACACTCCGTTCGATGTCTCACTATGGGAAATTGTAGCTCCCGTATTGTCAGACGAGCTTATCTCGAAAATCACCAAACCAACCAGAACTTAACAGGTAGAGTCCCGACTCAACCAGGTGCCCTGCACTGCTTGAGTCACACTGGGAGCAGAGACGTCCAGCCTGTTAAGAGGCGGACAAAAGTGAGCGGCGAGGACCAGCTCGCCGCTGCAACAATGTCTTGGATGGGAGACATCCTGGACAGAGCCCAGGATGCAGCCAGACCCTGAGTCGAAAGAGCTCGCGGACCCGAGGGTGCCTGCGAACTCTGACTCATATGAGCCCCAAAGCAATTGCTTCCACAAACCAGTGGGAGAGCCGTTGCTTAGTAACAGGCTTGCCCTTATAAGGGTTAGCCCAGGACACAAGGGGTTGGTCATTATGACGAAGCACCCTTCTTGATCTGTCCCTGTACGTGCGTGCAGCACGGGCTGGACACGGCAAATCCGGCCGCTGTTCCCCGGAGGATTACAGTGGCGGGGAGGGTGCCTCACTGTCAAATGTGGTACCTGAACCAACCGCCTTAAGATAAAGGCAGGGTTGGGCTTCAACCACACTCTGTTTGCCCTGGGGCGAACTGAGTGCATGAAGACTGTACAGATAGTGCATGAGTGCCACTGGCTCGCTTGGCAGCTGCCAGGGTCAGCTTCATGTCACACTGTATTCAGATTGTACCACTCACGGGCCAGGCCCATTGAGCCAAGCGCTCTGGGTGTGGGTGAAAGATCGCCCCCCCCCGCTTGGGACAGTATGTCCCTGCGTAGTGGGAGCTGCCATGGCTGCCCGCACAGCAGCTGATATATCTCCGCTAGCCAGTACATTGCAGGCCAGTGCGGAGCTATCAGGATAAGTGTGTGGCGTTGCTCTCTCACTCTGGCCAGAGTTGGGGGTATCAGAGCCAGGGGTGGGAACGCGTACAGAAGGCCCGGGGGCCAATCGTGCGCGAGTGCATCCACGCCTAACGGTGCATTTAGATCGCGCATCGAAAAGAACAGCTGACACTGAGCGTTGTCTTTCGATGCGAACAGATCCACCGCGGCTCTGCCGTAACGCACCCACAGCTGGCTCACAATCCTTGGATGTAGAGTCCAGTCTGCATAAAGTGGTATACCTCTGGACAGTAGATCTGCCCCGAGGTTCATCACTCTCGGGACGTGCGTCGCTCTCAGAGAGAGGAGACGTCTACCGCTCCATAGGATCAGTTTGCGCGCCAGTGTGTGTAACTGGAGAGAACGCAAACCCCCTTGGCGGTTAATATACGATATTGTGGTCGTATTGTCTGTCCTCACAAGGACGTGATGTCCCCTGAGGAAAGGCAGAAAGCGTTTTAGGGTGAGAAACACCGCTAAAAGCTCCAGGTAATTTATGTGCGCCCGCTGGAGGTCTCTGCTCCAGAGACCCCTCACCGGGCGACCTTCATAAATACCTCCCCAACCTGTCAGACATGCGTCCGTGGTGACCACTTTCCGTGAAAGGACAGCACCCATAAGCACACCTCGTACTAGAAAAGTCGGGTGCAGCCAGTGGCGCAGTGCCATTACGCATTTCACAGTAACCGGGTTTAGTTTTAGGGCGGCCACCCAGTGCTGAAACTCCCTCATGT